GTCGACAACAATGGTTAATATTATGGTTGACTCTCGGCATCGCGAAGTTCAGCCTATGGCGTCCCGGGCCGGAGCCGAAGGGCAGCGTCACCTGCTCGTTGCAACGATGCTTGCTCGTGTTTGGTTTCAACTGCCGGTACCATGTGCCGCCGCAGCTGATAATTTTGTAAGCCCTTCTATCAGGAGACGACTACCTTATGCGACTGCTCACTGCCCCACTTTTTCACAACTTGTTATATTATGTATAAAATTCAAGATAGGTGAGCTAGTCTTAGTCTCATATCATGTGAGCAAATGTGGAGTTCTTGGAATCAATATTATTAAATAAAAGGCGCCTGTTAAGAATATAGTGATACAACAAAAAATGTCCATCCTATCTACGAACTTTACACATGCCCCAATCCCAGTAGCCTTGAGTCACATATTCATCATATATCTTTGAAAGTGTTTCCCAATGAGGTGCAAATCAGTATCCACATCACTTGTGGCGGAGCTAGCAGAGCTGTGTCTGGAATGACCTGCAACCATTGTCTTGCATGCAGCAAGCAACTCATTTCGAAGTTCAAGCAAAATACTGTCAGGGATCCCAGGGGGAGGAAGCCAAGGATAGAAGGTACCATGAGTACCTGGTAGTACGAATTTGAATCCTTTTGACTTGTACTTATTATGGAGTGACCAACATAATTGGCAGCATTTCTTGCTAACGCCAATGGGCCAATCCTGAGTTGTATTATCGCCCTAGAGCGGGAAATATGAGTCTGATGATAGTTAAACTCAACATGGAAGATTAGAAGTCCCACCTCTTTCAACGTAGTGATCCAGTCCATGAGCGCCGCTTCAGCATGAACCTTTGCATTCAAAGTTCGGTGGATGATGCTCTCAGCTTGCTGGCGCGTGTAAGGATTGTCCGAGGGTGCCTGCCATTCTCGAAGCAAAGGCAACACTGCGTCGACATCAAATGCAGTAGATTGCAATACATCCTTATGGTAGCAAAATCGGGAGAGACGAAATTTAACTAGTTTTCCGTCAACTAGTTGTCCGAAATATGTTGCTTTTTGGTGAATATGCCTGGAGGAGGTTTGCCATGCCAAGACAGTTTTCAGACCTTGTAGAAGACGCACAACTGCTTGTTGCGGGTTTTGGATAAGGTTGAAAACTGGAGGATAGATGTAGCACATAGTCAAGAATGCTATAAGTGACAAGACTCACAGTCAGTGCTCTGGCTAGGCAACTCTAACTCATCGTCATCATCTTCATCATTTTCACTGATTGCGGTATTTGGTTCTATTGGACTCTGAACACGGTTATGATACTGTGCGAGCTCTGGAAAAGCATGAGCGCAACAATCAAAAGTGTAAAGACTCTCCAACTTACCAGCTTTAGCTAAAGCTTGAGCAACCCCATTAGCAGATAAAAGATGTTTAAAGACATCTATCAGGCGTTCCAAAGTCACCATTATAGCAACTATACGCCTGACCGACTCAGCGCTTGGTGAGTCTGTCCTAACCTTAGGATTTTTCCCGTCGGACTCTTTGACCAACAGATGTGACTGCAGTTTAGCCCAGGCGCTCTTGAACAATGCAAGCCATCGGGCGGCATTGTTAGAATTGACCAGATAAACATCTCCTGATTGAGTCGACTCCGGGGGCACGTAGCGCGCGAGTGTGTCATGGAAGGGCGAACTCCCACCTGGGAATTGGAAGGATTCCGATTTCAAATTGGGGTCTGGTAGGCAGTCGGAAATGATATCGAATGGTGATTTACCCCAGTGTGTGGAAAACAGTAGCACTCGCCAGCCAAGTTTTCGATAAGCGCGGTGATGAATGAAGAGTTGGAAAGGCAACAAATCGCTCGACTGGTCTGAACTTTCCGGGCGCCTTAGGGAGGCAATCACGTCAAACAAATCTTGAAGGTGCGCTCCGAAGGGAAAGTCACTGAGAGTCATGTAAGTCAGCCATTCAATAGATAGATGTAAACCCACTTGTTGCTTTGCACACTCTCTTTGTTTGGTTCCTGCTTATCATCCCACTTATCGAGTAGCTTCCTGCCATTCTCTGCCATTGGGATTATAACGTCCAAATGCACAATATCCTCTGCGCTCTTGGCAGACTGCTCTTTGTTCTTCCCCGCTATTGGTGCACTCGGTGCGTCCATGTCCTTCTCCTTTCTACCCTGTGGAGGTTTGTTTTTGAGCTGTCCTTTGAGCGCTCTGACCTGAGTGTCATCCTGTTTGGCATTTTCAGCACAGACAAGGAATTCCATAGCGAGTTCCGTCCCAGTCAGGGTAATTTTTCCCAAAACTGCATTCACATTCTTCGCATCAGGACTATGACTATGGCCAATAGCAAGAAGGGTGGAGATGTCAACAAAAAGCGACAATTCCGTATCCGTTGGGTGAGATTCAGAAGAGGTGCTCTGCTTGCCGCTAAGTTGAGTAGAAAGAAGAAGAACATCCGACCGGAGACTGTCAGTGAGGGGTGCAGGCGATTGCTGAGAGTCTGCCATGGGAGAGGGAGAAGAGTTGTCTTGGCGCTAACTCTCTCACGGGTCTTCCAGCGGATCACGATCGGATATTAAGAAAAACACAGGCACAATGTACAGGCTCGATTCGATACTTATGTGAAGCGACTCCCCTTAAGGAAAATATCTCGGCTAAAAGCAGATGTGGTGCTTACGATCCGACTCAACCGGCATGCATAACGCAACATGCTCATTTCCTTTACACCAGTGGATGACTTACCGTAACAATGAAAAATAAGAGGATGGTCAATTAATGGAGTGCGCCATGCGGAGGGATGCTAAGCGAGGCTGCCGGAGTCAGCAGCTTGTTGGAATTTGGTATCAGCTGGTCAAGCTGGATACGGCAATGGGGGTCTGATCGGTGATAGGGATATTGTATACATATTTGAATAAGCATATGATTATCACAAAGATAAGTGATTTATGAGCTCTTGCATCCCATGGCGGTTTACCTTTTTTTTTTTTTTTTTTTTTTTTGCATTGAAGCCCCCATTGGCGATACAGAGGTCCATGCTGCCTTGCTAGAATACCACAGACGCAATATCACGAACAAGGACACCATATCCCAGCTGCTGAAGGCTGATCATAATATTATTCTCAGGTAAATCACTGGTGTAAATTCTTTTGGGTTATTCAATGAGTCCGTATGATAGCGCTTCATCTGTGACACACCATAAAAGTCACTGGGATATCGAAGGGAGTCGTGTAACAACTCAAACTATGCCCGGGATAATTCTATTAAACAACCCTGTTGACTGAAAACAACCTCGAAACAACCCCGAAACAACCCTTCCGCGATGGCCGTAGCACCAGCTGTCACACCGGAGTCCTAACGGGTCACAAATTCATCGAAATTGAGACAAGTCGGTCATGAGCAATGTACTGGCTGTGTGTAGCAATAAAAAAGCCATACTGGTGCAAGAATTACTGCAATTACATGTTGTTGGCAAGACTGATCGTGACACAACGAACAACAAGAGTTTCTTGATGCTGGTGGGTTAAACAAGGTAAGAGCTGTGAGGTTTTAGAGGTATAAGGAAAGTTGCAAGCTAGGAAGTGATTTGAGAAGGTAAAGGAACTCTGAAGAGTGAGATACGCACCCGGCACCGGCTGTTTACTCTGTGGAGTGCAATCTCATCTCCAAAATCCTTCGTGCAATATGGACTGAGTGTTTTGAGTGTCCTAGGTGATTATTTATCAATCAAGAGGCTAAGGTACTAGAGTCGCAGAAGAGTATGCTCATGAGGTTGAAACCTGAGGGGGCGGCAGCAGCTACGGGGATGAATCCGAAAGGATGAGAACTACGCAACGTGGCAACTGCCAGCAAGAGTGAAGGAGACGTGTTTCGGGCAAACTCCGGCGTGACAGGCGCGCAAAATGGTCGAAAGAGCTTCAGAAGGGTTGTTTTCAATCAACGGGGTTGTCTAATAGCCCTATGCCCGAGCTTGATAAGCGACAACTTGTCATTGACGAAATGGCAAAAGATTCAAACGGCAAGCGGGGTCCTTGGACATTCAAAGAATGTCTGTCGCTCGGACAAAGTGTTCATTTGACTAGGTCTGTCCAACCGTTGTATTCAACTTCAGGGAGCTGAAACTTGTCCAGGAATTTCATTGAAAAAACTATGCGCGAGGAGCAGCCCCAAGGATTTGAATTGCGTGGAAGCTGAGGCGAAGGCTTGGCCTCAACCTTCTGATACTCGAGCTGGAGGTTAAAATGATGCTTGAACTTAAATCGAACATACTACTCCGATGTATCATCCGCGAGCCACGCGCTCGCGTCCGTTTCACAACCCCCACGCTTCAAGCCCGAGTCCATTCCACTACTAATCGAATTTACGGCGTGCAGCCAAAATGTGCCATGTGCGTCAAGATTAACTCAAGATGTGTAAAATAATAATAAAATTAAAAAAGACATCTTTGCAGATTTCATATGGCGCTGGCGCTGGCGAGATTCGAACTCGCAGCTAGGCTACAGAATATGCTTATGCAGCGGAAATTATGGTGAAGCCTCAGGTTAACCGTTACCCCACAGCACCATGTCTAGTGACATTACCTATGGTAATGAGCCCTTGCTAGCCTTTGAGAGAGATAGATTTATTGACAGCTCTCAATCAAAGGCTTGCATTGCTAAAGATGTTTGTTAGGAAGTGAAATATTGACGCACCTAAAGATTGATATTCTTCATTGGATTTTGTACTGTCTGATTACCACTGTCTACCCATTCCCCTTTATCTTCCCTCTGGATCGAATCAATTTTAAACCTCAGGCAGCACATACTACTCCTACTCCAATGTATCATCCGCGAGCCACGCGCTCGTGTCCGTTTCACAACCCCCATGCTTCAAGTCCAAGTCCATTCCACTACCAATCGAATTTACCGCGTCCAGCCAAAATGTGCCATGAGCATCAAGATTAACTCAAGATGCGTAAAATAATAATAAAATTAAAAAAGACATCTTTGCAGATTTCATATGGCGCTGGCGCTGGCGAGATTCGAACTCGCAGCTAGGCTACAGAATATGCTTATGCAGCGGAGATCAATGGTCAAGCCTAAGGTTAACCGTTACCCCACAGCACCATGCCTAAGATGGATTTATTGACAAGCTATCAATCAAAGGCTTGCAGAAGTGAAATATTGACGTGATATTCTTCATTGGATTTTGTGCTGTCTGATTACCACTGTCTACCCATTCCTCTTTATCTTCCCTCTGGATCAACTCAATTTTAAACCTCAGGCAGCACATACTACTCCAATGTATCATCCGCGAGCCACGCGCTCGCGTCCGTTTCATTTCTTTACCTGGGGTCTGGGCTTATTTCAGGTGTCCAATCTTTCAGGTATGCCTGTTGACAAATATGAACTTGGTTTTAGCAAACTCATGCCAACATCAGCTGAGCTCAAGGAGAGTCAACGCTAGTGGGATTGGAGCCAAATGTAAAACTTGTGGATAGGATGGACACGCTTGTTGTATTAATGATTACTTTTTGGGCTATTCTTTGTCTTTACCTATATCTTTTTTATCATTTAATTATTACCTTCTTATTGCTTTTTGTCATTGTATTCTGATGCTCATGTGACACAAGATTAATCCGAGATAAGTCGCCAAAGGCGGCTTATCAGAGGATAAGATAAGCAGGCGTGAGAGTCGGCATTGCGCCGATAGGCGCCTATAGATCTCATTCCCGACTCTCACTGCCGCTCGTCTGAATTGACATATCGAGCATTTATCTCGTCCTTTTTCGTTTATGTCGCGTCGAAGACCTTCACCACGCGCACAACGGTATCCGGAACATTCTCTAGATGTCAACGCTTCATCCCATATGACTCATCATTCGATCGACCAACCAGAAAATCCAGAATTCACTTGAAAACCCTAACCATTGCTCAGCTGAAGAAGCTGCCTCTTCAGTTACGTCTGGAGAAGAACAGGCGATAACAGATAGGAATAAGAAAAGGAGAGAGAAAGGAGTGGACAAGGGCGACGAATCCGACGTGGAATCACTCATCACGATTGAGGATGCAGAAATGGACGATATCCGCTCAGATCCCAACATCTTCGCGGCAGCTAAACCACTTCTAGACGTTGCCACCATTGCGGAGCTGAATAGAGCAAATAGGGAGGATGCAGCGAGGGAAAAGGAGACGAGACCAATGGCCAGTAACGACGAATGGGAGCTCGAACCAGACGTCTTCCTTAGCAAACACAGATCCCACCTAGCCTAATCTTCCCGAAAGAGATGTTCGTCATTGCCAGCGAAAAATTCACCTTCCCACTCGCCTTCTTCATGCAGATGAACATCTCATTTATCAATTCGAACCTCCACGAATTCGAACGAACATGTCTTGCACACGAGTCAAAGACTTTCATTCTGGATATCGACGATATGGAGAAGGCGAAAACGGGTCCGTCTAGAGACAACAAGATGACCATGTTGGATTTGCGTGGACTGTTTTAGCCTTATATCACTTGGCCATCGCTAAGCTAACAACTTTTTCCTTAGTGAGTGGTCCTCACTGCAGCTAATTAAATTTAAATGAGTGATAAGTGCAAGTGTAATACATCTCCCATCACTCTGAGCACAACATACTTAATACTTACACACTAGATGTTTCACTTTTCTGTTTGTTGCATAATATCTGCTCGTTTTAATGTGTTACTTATTTTCACTTATCATTTATTGATACACACTGATGTTAATTTCCGCATTGTATGCGCTCATTGGCACATTTGTGAACTTAAGATAAAAAGCCTGATTAGAGTATATGAAATCGAAGCTTCTGAATGACAATGGTGAATCAAGAGTATGTCAGTATCATTCAATGGTAATGTCAGAACTCACTGGCCACCTGAGAGGCGGTTGACCCTTATAAGGTTTCTTTTACCCTTTATCGAGCTTGGGGGCGCTCTTCCTTTTCTCCCTGCCCTCTTCCTTTACCTCTACCTTCATACGATATCACTATCTCCCCGCGACCCAATTTTTATGGCTTCTAGGCTTTCCACAATTTCCATAGTCTTCCTCTGACATGACTCAAGTTCTGAGTATAGCGCGCTCGAAATTATATAGTTCTCATGTTCTGCACAAAATAATTGATGTAATCATCCCAAGAGTGCTTTGCCGCCTTTTCTCGCTTCTTCTATTTCTGGAATATCTACGAAACCTTATCTTCCTGCAGTAATTTATCGAGAATGATGTAGGCGACGCTATCAACCAGCACGTGGAATCCCACCTGTCCACACGCCTCATAACAAACACGTCTGCCTGCTTCGTCTCTGGACTTCACTGGTGACAATGGGAGTATTGGGATTTCAATGATGTTTGATGCCCTGCACGAAGTTGTTTGAACCCTCGTGCTTGAGGTGGTGGCCAACATTTCATTTGACAGATTCTATACCAAGCATGTTCACTTCTTCAGTTGATGCCACCTCCCAGTTTGATATGTTGTTCCATTGAATTGTGAGCTGTAAATGAACATGTACTCTTGTAATCCCCCACATGACACACAAGGAGAATTGCTTCAAGACATTCTTTGAATGTCCATATAGAGAGGCCCTGTTGCCATTGAATTTTTGCCTCAGACAAGTGGCTTATTCACTCGGGGCCATAGGGATAATTATTTAACACCCCGTGATGAAAACAACCCTCTGAACTCTTCACCATCTGGCGCTTGAGTAGCTCAGTAATCAATTTTGTATGGCCATGTTACGGTCATACAGTGTATGGTGCTGGATGTATGAAGTTAAGAAGCTTAAAACTATCAATTGCAAGTCAGTGTTGTCTTAAAGATGTTCAAATGACTTTACTTATACCTTTGCTTGAGTTCATGACTTGAACCATGCATTGCAAGGCCAAGGTAGAGTAGAGGATAGAGGCTCAGGCTTCCTTATAGGATGTCCGAGTCAAGTCCGAGTTGCATTTTTCGATGAAATTTGAGATGGAAGTTTTTACAATTTAGGCTCAGATACCTCATAATTTATAGAGCCAAAAGTTGGCAAGAAAATGTGTAGAAGTGTCTAATTTTGACTACTCACACTTACACTGCATGCACTTCCGTATATGGCCGTCTTCTTACCATGAATACAGCCAATTTTCATACCGCCGACTGTACTGTACAGAGGTGTCCAGCGATTGACAGTACGGCATCATAGCCGTAAAAACCATCTGTATATACCGTATATAATGGTTCCGGTGCAGAGCCCTACTAGTTACATCCCTAATCACAATTGGCTTTGTTTACATCTTTGTATAGACTTTTGGAGTCAACTTACTGACTGATATTGGTCTGATATGTAAGAATTTCATCTTTCTGACCTCCTCCCACTTGTTCCTGTCCGCTCCGCACGCATGTACAAGTCTCGGAGCAATCAACTTTAAGGAGTCTCAGGAATAACTACTTCACGCATATACACTAGTTTTATATTTAATTCCCAGATTAACTGCTGCTTCGGATTTACTTACTTACTACGACTCCTTTAGTTAGACCCTAACGGTTCTGTCCATTACACTTATATAGTGCCTGAAACTATTTCAAGTAACCTGGACATTGTAGTCTTTTGGCCCAGTTGGTGACCAGATTGACTGTAGGCAGCCCCTTTAGAATAACGCCAGTCCATGCATATTCACCTGCTGAAAAAAGCGAGTGATTGAGGAGGTTTAGACAACCGGTGTACATTGATTCAATGACTCCCATCTTATAGAGACTTATTCCAGGCTAAAGTTTGTTGAGAGTTCACAAGGCATTGGTAAAAACTTGTTCAGGACTGCGCCGATGCATATAGCTTTCAAATAGATTGTGAGTATGCCCAAGAAATAGCACAGGAACATTACATAACTGATAGCGTAGAGCAGAGAGAACAGATGCTAGAGATAACACTGTGGCATCAGCAAGGCATTTGGGACAGTTGGTTATGAATGGGTCGGTTGTAGCGGCAGAAAAAGTTGCAGAAAATGGTGGTACGGTCATTAATTGAACCTTTACCATAGAGCATTCAAGTTATAGAATGATAGATGGAGTAAAGTTGCGAATATGGGTAAATATGTTCGCATATAACAACTCATAATCGAGGTAAATGAACCTAATGTGACGGTTCTGTGATGAGCACCGAGGGGCACAAACAAGTCGCAGCTGGTATAGTCCAATTGCATGAGACTCTGAGATACTCAATTGGCCTCGATACTGCTTCAAACCTCTCAAAAG